CACCCCAATGTGTCCACGCGCCAAAGGGAAATCTCCTGTCCCGCCCACTATCGACATTTCTCGATAGTCGCGTGGGTAAGGATTCCTTCCTTGCACATTGAGTGTGCTCCCGTTATACTCTCCACCAGTAAAAACGAGGTCGAGAGTCATGTGGATGCTTATCTCCTCAATCGAGGCAAAGGCAAACATCCCTTGGGCCCGACCCACTATCTCAGCATCTAGACTGGGCCCAGTTCTCACTGGGTCGTCCAACACGGCGACAAGCCCGAAAAAGGTCGGTGAAGAGGGTGTGGAATTGGCCATGGCAACGTTTATAGGTGATGGGGTTGGGGGATGAAGCATGTCTTGAACATACAATTGTAGTTGAGTCATCTTTTCCCCACTTGGAAGAATTTGTAGGAACTTTTTTTTGGTGGCAAAGCCATTGGCTTGAGACATGACCATTAAAATGGAAAAGAGTGCAAAAAGTTTGAATTGATTTCCCATTTTTGTCACTATTTTGGACACACTTAGGATTTTTTTTTTTTTTTTTTTTGGTTTAATTGTGATTTGTGAGTTTGTGATTTTGGGAATGGGCACAAAAGGGTTATTTATAGTTGATCGTAATGTACCAAAGAACACGTTATATGGCTAATAATAGGAAATATTGCTCTATGGTTAGACAATCGTGGTTTTTAATCGTATTTGTATATATTTATAATATTCAAATGTCACGTATATAAAAGTTTCAATGTATAGCACCTTTTGACAATCGTGACATTTCATGTTATGAGGAGTAGATAATATACTTTTTTATTGAAAACTAGTATAACACCCGTATATTACACGGGTGCTTGCTAATTTTTTTTCTTCTTAAAGTCTAAAATTAATGAGAAAAAATAGTTGAAAATTTAAATACCTTTTACAAAAATATATATTATTATATATTTAATATAACACTTTTTATTTGTGCGAATTATCTGTGTTATATTATAATAATTTTTAACTTACAACATATAACTACATTAAAAATAAATATATCAATTGATAAATAATTTTATTTTTCTAATAAATTTTAATAAATATTATTATTTATTATTATTATAAAGATAAATATAATTTATTTATTTCACATATACAATATGAATGTCAAATCGATGATCATCAAAAGATGATTAATTTGACATATAATATATGTAAAACCGATAAGAAATACAAAAGTTATCAACTTTTAAGGCAAAATTTCAAAATTGGTCCTATAACTTGGCCACTGTCCAAAAAATCACCCCTATATTGACCACTTTCAATTTAGGTCCTATAATTTGTCAATTTCATCAATTTTGGTCCTTTTTATCTGGACCCTGGATTAAAAAGTGACGTGGCATGACATGTCATTTTTTTAAGGTTACATGGCGTGATTATGATCTACGTGGCACGTCAATTTTGGTCCTATAATTTGTCGATTTCATCAATTTTGGTCCTTTTTGCATGCCACGTCACTTTTTAATCCAGGGTACGGAAAAAAAAGGACCAAAATTGATGAAATCGACAAATTATAGGATCTAAATTGAAAGTGGTCAATATAGAGGTGGTTTTTTGGACAATGGCCAAATTATAGGACCAATTTTGAATTTTTGCCAACTTTTAAAATACATTTACAATTCAATATCTAATTGAAGGAAACAAATCAAAATCAGGGATATATTAGTCACTTAGTGCCTCACTATGTAAAATTACAAATAATTAAAGGGTTATATTGGTACAAGTGATATTAAAATAACTAAGTTAGATAAATAATATTATGGAATGTTCGAACCTAGATAATTAATTATTAATATATCAATATTATTTGTCCAAATCTAATTACGAAGCATGATTCTTCGCCAAGTAAGATTCCGAAGCACCAGAAACAGCCACGTAAGCTCAGCGCATTTGGGAATTATATATAGAGAGGAGAGGATGTAGGGGCTTAATTAAAATTGCACGTTTGACAAATTAGAGTAGACTGAAATTAAATATAGCAACTAAATTGATTTTAATTTGTGTTATTTTTCTCGTGATCGTTTGCTTAAGAGATGATTGTTAAGTGTTTACAACTCAATATCTTTCCACCTAGCTAGTTCATCTATTAAAAATTAAGGTAGAGTTAAAGTGTTAAAAAGTGAGAACAAACTTAGCTCGAGAGGCGTGTATTAGCTCGATATTAAGTCTTTTATCGCTCGATAACTAAATGAACCAATAAACAAGCTTTAGTTCGGCTCTTTTGTCTCTATTAATGAGCATAGATCGAATTTCTAGTGAGTCGAATTGTAAAAAATTATACAAATATATATATTTTTTTTATCTTTAATGAACCTAATGAGTCGAACATTTAGTTTACTAAATGAGTTCAAGCTCAATTTGTTAATTTATCAAACAATGTCAACTCGTTTAACCTTAACGATTTGAGTTCACGAGTCACGACTTTGGAATTAATTGATTAGTTAATACTAAACTACAGATAGTGTTATTCGCAGTTTCCTTATGAATGTTAAACTCCGAATTTCACGTGAGAAGAAAAACTTTTTTTTTGGTACAATAAAAGAGGAATAATCCTAGTGGTTAGAGACGAGCGCGGTCCGTGGATAAGTTACACCGATGAGGTTATGTTGTAGCCATGAACGGACCCCTGCTGGCGGATCAGAAAGCACGTGATATCCCAATGGTCCTCCCGCTGCGAAGGACGCCAAGTAATCAGCTGCAAAATTTGCTTCACGGAAAGTATGTTGCACTCGAACCTCCCAGTGTCGACAAAGAAGCTCTCTGATCCCATTAACCAGCCCGACATACACACCCGGGGGCTCCTCAAGAGAAGTAGCGAACCCCACTGCACTAGCATTATCTACTTCGGCCACAACTTTCCGATGGCCGAGGTCCCAAGCCAGGGAGAGACCCCAAAACAAACCCCAGAGTTCCGCAGCCATTATCGAGCAAATGCCAATGTTCATGGTGAACCCCCCTGAGCCAGTGTCCCTGCTCATCCCGAAGAAGACCACCTGCACATCCCATCCCAGACGCCGCGTTAAACGAGCCATCTGTGTTGACTTTAATCCAGCCCGGTTACGGTTTATCCCAGCTTAGCCATCGTGGGACACCAAAAGAACCCGTCCCCCCAAGCTTCTTATTTCCATCAAATGTGATCTTCAGGCCCTCGACATATGTAGCAATCTCCATCATGGCTCCTCTAATATCCATGCGTTTGTTCTGAAAGATAAACTCATTTCTCCATTTCCACACTTTCCATGCAACCACCCCAAAAGTACATGGCCAATTCTCCAGTCCAAAAAAAGACGAGTGAGACAAATTAAGAGAGAGCCATTTCTCCAAGGACAAGGTAAAGAACTCACCATGCGCCTTAATAGGCAATAATCGTATCCATATATCCAATGCAAGTGTACATTCTCGAACAACATGAAGAGCCGTTTTCTCGTATCGTCCACATATCACGCATGCGGTATTAGTCGTCAGATGCCGTCTGCTTCTTTCCACGTTGGTAAGAAACCGGTTCTTCGCTAGGAGCCAGAGGAAAGCACGAATTCGTTGGGGTCCTGGCCAGCGCCAAATGGTGCGCCACAGAATTTTCCTAGACGGGTCCTCAGCACCACCATTCTCTAATAGGACATAAGCAGACTTTGTCGAGAACTTACCGGTGGGAGATGGGCTCCAGTAGAGGCGGTCGCAGCCCGAGCCTGCTCGTGGCGACGGTGTAGCCGCAATTTGTAAGATGGCCCTCGTCGGTAAATATGGTGAGAATAACTCCCATCTCCAAGAGCCCCCCTCTGTTACGAAATAATTAACCTTCCTGTCCAGTAATACCGTTGGGATCGTCCCCAGAGCCACATCGTACAGATTAGAGGATGGGCTTGCCCATTTATCTTTCCAAAAGTCTGCCGTTTCCCCGTTTCCAATACCCCAGCGGGCCCCAGCAAGCACATATCTCCATATTTTACGAAGAGCGTGAAAGACGGATGAGCCTGTGCGCTTACGGCCCCACACATCCTCGAAAGGAGCATTACCATATTTTGCTTTCCACACCTGAACCCAAAGCGCGTTGTTGTTGGTTAGAAAACGCCACCTGAGCTGTATAAGTAAAGCCTCATTCATCCTTCGTTGTCGTTTGATGCCCAGCCCACCTTGGTCCCGTGCCATACAAACTTCGTCCCACTTCACTAGACTAAGTTTCTGTTTTTTCCTCGAGTTTCCCCAAATAAAACGTGTTGTGTACAAATTATTCTTTTTATCGAGTATCGAATCGAAAGATTCGTTCCCCGGGTCGATCTCACGAGGAAGGCGGTTCGGAATTTAATTATGATATCGATAGCACATAAAAGCAAAGAAAATCCTAAACATACTAATCAAATAAGGATGGATGAATTATCAGCTAAGAATCAACATAAAATTAATAATCTACCTAAGAAATACGAACGAAACAATGAAAAAGAAGCTAGGGAGTCGGGGATAATTAATTCAAGTTCTAGCAAAACTGGGCAATCAATTGTTCGATTCGAGATTGACACTCTCGCTTAGACATCTAGCGGTTCACTCCCAATAACTCTTCGTAACAAGGGACTGAACATAGACGTACAAGCTCAAGCATACAATACGGGCCAACTAACCCAATCCCAATAACTTTTCGTAGCAAGGGACGGGTCATCGACAAGTGCATATTTCAATCTAAAACACGTAGATTAGTCAATTACGACATCGTCTACCTCATGTGAGCCTAGGTCAACGACTTCTCCCCTTTCGGTTCTACAAGTCACTAATTAACTAGAAGGGTATTAATCGACTAATCACATAGAATCAACAAAACCCTAACTCGACTAATCAATATTCAATTATTTCTAATTGCAAGATCGAAGTGTCACTCTTCGATTATATCAACCAATCAAACAAGATTCTATCAATCTGATGGAGACGAGCTCGCGATGGCCTTTCTCGACAAATACGACCGGCTTCCAGTTTTAATATGATTAATTATCCTTATTTTATATTATTATCTGCTATGCTTTTTATTCCTTATTTATCTTGTTTTGTTTATTGGAAAATAAATATTAACTTACCTAGCAAGTTAGGGAACTTAGGAGGTGAAAACTCTATTTATTCTTTTGCTTGTATTTGGGGATTGGACGGTGGTTTTTGAACAGAAAAAATATTTCTCTTGAGATTTTATTTCGACTCCCTATTTCGTACGCTGCGCTACATCAGTTGGTATCCAGAGACCAGATACGATCCACCATGCCGCCCAAAAGGAACGACACGGCTGACGACAGGCGAGATGCTGCAATTGAATCTCTCACACGACAAAACGAGGGTTTCGGACGGCAGTTTCAAGCTATTGGCCGTGAAATGACAGACCTATCAGCGGGCATGGAGGACATCAGGTTGGCTCTCCATTCAATGATGCAACGCGATGGCACGAACCGCGACGGGCCCGATGGACGAGGCGGCGGTCGCGGGGGGATGCGTGGTGGCCGCGGGGGTCGTGGTCAGCCGCGTTTTGGTGGCAGGCAGCGAACGCCGCGCGAGGAGGAGGACGGCGAAGATTCTGATGCCACGGTGGAGGACTATAATCCGTTTGGAATTGAGGAGCCACGGGTCGAAGAAGCAGCGGCCGGTTATCGCCGTTGGGAGGCTTCTTTCTGCGTGGAGATTCCAGAATTTTCAGGGGGACTGGATGGGTCTGATTTGCTCGATTGGCTTGGCTCAGTTGAAGCGGTGTTGGATTACAAGGATGTGCCGGATGAACATCGCGTGGGTCTTGTCGCAACTCGGCTGCGTGGGAGGGCGGTGGCCTGGTGGTTGCACCTGAAGGACTCGCGGCGCCGACTCAACAAACCTAAAATTGCATCGTGGGTAAAGTTTCAAAAACACATCGAGCGAGAATTCCTTCCGTTCAACTATGTTCGTACAATGTACCAGCAACTTCAGAATTTGCGACAAGGTGCTCGATCCGTTGACCAATATACGGACGATTTCTATCGTCTACTCACTCGAGTCGATGTACGAGAAACNCCGGATCAATTGGTGTCTCGTTATATTGGCGGCCTCCGATTGGCAATTCGGGACACCCTTAACCTATTTACGCCGGTCACCGTTTCCGATGCTCACCAACGTGCTCTGCTCGTGGAGCAACAACTAGCTCGCCGGGCGGGCTCGGCCGTCTCTTCGCTGGGTGCAGTAGCGGGTCATCAGTCAGGCGGGGCGGGCCAGCAAATTGATCGCAGCCACGGGCCGGGTCTGGGCGGAGGTGCAACAGCGGCTTCGTCTCCAGTTGCAGCATCTCCAGTTGCAGCAGGCACCGTCTCACAGGCTATAGCGGCGGGAAATCGTCCGGGCAACGGTATGCGTTGCTTCACGTGTGAGGAATCCGGCCATAGGCAAGCTGTTTGTCCTCGCCGGGGTGGTGCGCGAGCCTTAATTGCCGGGACTGGGAACGATATAAATGACGGTGATGTTTATGACTCGGCCCCTATTTTTGACGAAGAACCCGAGACACCGGAAGAACATGTGTGCGGCGATGTCGGTCAGGCTCTTGTCCTTCGCCGCTCTTATTTATCGCCACGATTAGCCTCCGACGATTCGGCCCAGCGCCACAACATTTTTGAATCTACATGCACTGTCGATGGTAGGGTTTGTCGTTTAATTATCGACTATGGCTCATGCGAGAACGTGGTAGCCCAAGAAGCTGTTGAGCGCCTTCATTTGTCTGACGTACCACACCCCCATCCTTATACATTGGCGTGGATTCAGCGTGGCAACGCTATCACTGTCGCCCGACGTGTGCTATTGACATTTTCAATTGGGGCTAAGTATAAGGACTCGGCGTGGTGCGATGTCGTGCCCATGGACGCTTGTCATATCTTGTTGGGCCGACCATGGCAATTTGATAGGTCGGCTACACATGACGGCCGCCTAAACACTTATAGTTTCATGTGTGACGGGGTTCGGATTGTGTTACACCCGTCTCCACCTCGTCGGGCGTCGGGGGTTGTATCCTCTCCTGTTCTATTTTTATCTCTCGCGCCGTGTGCACTGGACTCGGGAGTCGTGAGGGCTGCCCGAGCTTTCGGGACGAGCAGGTCCGCTTCCAGCNCCACACGAGGAAAGCACTCTCTCGAGCATTTGGATGCCAATCTCTTCAAAGGGTGTAGTTTCGAGGTGGCTTTGGATGATGGGAAGGCCAACGCCACACGTTCAGACAAGAAGCAGCAAGGGAACTGCCTTGCAGATGCCTTGCGACGTCATGTTGAATTCGATGTGGGAGACTTCGTATGGGCTGTCTCAGCTCATGATTACAACACGCTGGAGACGCGTACGATTGGCCCAGTGGAGATTATCGAGAAGATTAATCCGTTTGCTTATCGCCTGCGACTTCCGTCCCATTTTCGACCTTTGGACATTTTCCACGTAGAAAATTTGGTACCTTTTTTGGGCGATAATTCTTATGGAGACGAGCTCGGTTCAGATTCGAGGACGAATCCTCTTCAACCGGGAGAGGATGATGGAGACGAGCTCGCGATGGCCTTTCTCGACAAATACGATCGGCTTCCAGTTTTAATATGATTAATTATCCTTATTTTATATTATTATCTGCTATGCTTTTTATTCCTTATTTATCTTGTTTTGTTTATTGGAAAATAAATATTAACTTACCTAGCAAGTTAGGGAACTTAGGAGGTGAAAACTCTATTTATTCTCTTGCTTGTATTTGGGGATTGGACGGTGGTTTTTGAACAGAAAAAATATTTCTCTTAAGATTTTATTTCGACTCCCTATTTCGTACGCTGCGCTACATCACAATCCCTCATCAAAACAACACACATAAGCATGAACGAATCGAAGCCCGACAAGTACAATTCAAACAAGAACAATCATCCCCTATCCCTAGCAGTCAGATTTAGCTACGAACCATGAATTCAACAAAATCAAGTATTTCACCCCAATTAATCATTCACATGAATTAAAGAAGATGAAAAATACTTACAATCAATCCAAGGGTAGAATCCAAAGTACAAGCTTAAACCCTAACTAAGAAGAAGAAGAAGAAAATTGGAAAATAAAGATGAATAGAAGAGGAGAAGAGAAAAAAGAGAAGAAGAAGGAGGAAGAACAATGGAGGGAGGAGTCGATTTTCGGAGCTAGGGTTCCTCCCCCATCGAGCACCCTCCTCTCCTCTCGTCTACCGTGAAAAAGATCATCCAAAACTCAGTTTGGGGGTCTTGGGTTCGATCTATTAAGCTTCCCATTCAAAAATCCACGAAAATCGCGTCAGTTACAAAACAGGCTGTTGATACACAATTTGGCCTTGATTAATAAAAATATGACACGTGGATATGTATTAGATAAATATTAATATAGCAGGTTTTCCGAGCTGATTATTTAGCCAAGTACCCAAGTGTCTAGATCGCCCACGTTCGAGTCGAGCAGAATTAAATATCGCCAGCCCGACCTGAATAGCGAGAAGATCCATTTCCGGTAGACGCCATGATTGCCGATAGAGTAGACGTCATTCGAAGCCGTCAAGTGTCACGATCGGGCCCCACAATGTCATTTCACATTAAATACTCTTGTCCCTTTTTATCTATTTTTTAATAGCCCACTTGTGTAGTGAGCCTTGTATATATGTATTGGGATGAGAGAGAAAGGGGGGACACTATTCCTCCATCTTCAACAACACACAAAATGAAGAAAAATTAGGGGATCTTCATCTTCTAAAAACCCAATAGAAATACCTATTAATTCAACACCGATTATTCGCAGAATAGGGGTGTATATTTTCGTTGATCAAATCCGTTTATCAACAGTTTGGCGCTAGAGGAAGGGCTCCGTAATTTGCTCGGAGTCAATTTTCACCGAAAAACGGCCGCATCTCTACTGGAAAATCATCTCCCCCAAGTTTATCCTCAATAACTGTGGTTTGTTCTAACCCTATGTATTATTTTTATCCATCCTTCCTATCCTGTTAAAAACAAAAATAAAAGTGGAGATATGCAAGTTCAGGAGTTGTGCGAGGCTATCTGCTCTTTTAAGTCTATGTATATTTATATTGTGGGAATTGGGATGTTTGAAAAAAAAATAAAAATAAAAAATGAGTTCAACAATATTTGGAAACTCAAAGAATGGCAAGTAAATCAGAAACTAATATC